ACAAATTGACCATAAAGAGGCACAAAAACACCACAAATCAACCAGACACAGACTCAAACGGGCCGTACGGGTTTTGGAGATGGTACCGAGCCCTCAGAGGACGTTCTAGTAATGTGACATGTTAACCAAAGGGGGCGCCGTTCTGGCTACCGTGTTCTCAGGACGTTCTGGGGATGCTGATGGAACGTTCCCACACAGTTACATCATGACAAAGGAAGAACGTTCCAACAGCGTTATCACCAAACACTGTCAGAACGTCTTCGGTCGTGCGACCTTCAACGTTCTGGGAGCTTCCTGCTGAAAACGTCGGCAGAACTTTCTCAGAACGTTTGTGGCTGGACGGTGGGAGCCAGCGAGGGCGCTCCTGATTGGTTGTTTCCTGTTGTGTTTTGCAGCAGAAGGACGAGATCAGCCTATCGGAGGGCAGCACGGTGGACCTGAGGAAGCCCGGCGAGGAGGAGGACGAGTACTCGGAGATGGCCGAGGAGGCGATGGACCCCGACAACTGTTTCCCCGACAGTAAGAACACACACTCAACACGCAAACACGCGACTACCGGGCGCTCCAGGAGTCTAACACGACCAAATCCAAGAACTCCAAGCTGCAGGTTCTGGTTGCTTTTCAGCTCCCGCTTCATGGTCCTTCACTGAGGTTCATGTTTCTCTGCAACATGAAGTCCTGCAGCTGTGTGGAACCAGAACCACATGAAGAACGAAGGAAAAGAGACGAAAAAACAAAAAGCACAAATGACATAAAAGTGACCTAAAGACGCTTAAACGGCACCAAAAGTAGCACAAAGACCAAAAGAAGGAAACGATGGCGTCGTGTTGGCTGGTTGGTTTTTAGCATTTTTGTCTTGTTTTTGTCGTCTTGTCGCTCATTTTGTCTCCTGTGTGTCATTTTTGTCTTTTTTTGTGTCTGTTTTTGGGTTTTTTTTGTTACTTTATCTCATTTTGTCTTGTTTTTGTTATTTTGTGTCTCTTTTGTGTTTTTTGTCTCATTTTGTCTCCTGTGTGTCGCGTTGTGTTTCGTTTTGTTCATCTCCTGCATCTCTGGACCAGTCTGGTCTCTTCCTGTTCACCCCGTGTCTCTGTTTTGTTGTCGTCTCTGTCGTTGTGCGTCTCATGTGGCGCTGCTGTGTTGTGTGTCCGTGGTGCTTTTGTTGGTCGCTACGTTCCTGTTTTCGTCTTCACGCTGTGAGCCGGTGTCGTTACAACCAGCAGCCCATGCCGCCGCCCGCTTGGCCCAATACTTTCATAATGAGATTTATGATGCTGCGCCGACTGACCCAGGTGAAAAACACACCTGACTCAGCCGCTTCTGTCCCGGAGCGCAGAGATTTGTCTTCCGCAGCCGGCGTGGCCACGATTCAGACACACAGTCGGGTGGACGGCATGTGCATGTGGCCGAGTCCTTGTTGGCGGCAAACCGTTCACGCTCTGGGCTCCGTTTTTAGTCGCTGGTTTGACTTTCACAGGTAACGCGAGGCTACAAAAAAAAAAAGAGAAAGACTGAGAGAGAATGAGGCCAGCCAGCTGGAAAAGCCTCTGCGACCGGCCAGGAAACATCCCCGACACCTGCCGGGGCCTCGTCAGGTGACAAACGCCGACCAGCTGACCCGACACTTTGTGCTGAACGGTTCATTCAAGGCGAGTTTAGGAGGAGAGCTAACGTATGACATGAACAAGGACGGGGAGACGAAGCGCTCCAGCTGCAGCCGTCGGCCCAGACGTCCACCTGGATGTCTGAACGTTGAACGGTTCCTCTCATGAAGCAGCTCAGCGAACAGACTGGATGTGAGCCACATCCCCCCGCAGAAGTTCTCCCTGTTCATTGTGAATTTACACAAGAAAGAGTCTCTGTTCTGTCTGGAAATACACAGAATGAGCATCAGACCTCCCAGAACAACTCCAGAGATGCTGATAGTCCTGGTTCTGAACCGGGCCCGGTCCCGCCAGAGCCTCCTCGTCTGCCAGCGAGCAGATGTTGAATTAGCTTTGATTCATTTACAAGATTGATGCGTCCGTCGCCGGCGTCCCAACACGCCGCCGGCTTCTCCCTGATTCAGCAGAGTCCTTCACAGCAGGCGCGCGTTTGTCACCGGCTGGACTCGGATCAGAACAAAACTCTGCAGCACCGTGTCGTCAGGTGGATCCAGGCGGGAAGGTACAACAGCACGATACGAACGTCTTGATCTAAAACGAGCAGCCGATTGTTCAGAAACAGAATCAGAACATTTAAACTCTAAACCGGACCCAGTAGCAGCAGGACGGAGCCGGACTGGGTTCTGACATCATGGAACCGCGTCTCGTTGTTTTTACGTGTAAACATCCTTCATTGAACCGAACAGAGAACTCAGACGTTCAATTGTTTAATCACGTCGTGTTTGTGGCGCTGACGGACAAACCGGATCGAACCGGATCAAACCGGATCGAACCGGATCAAACCGGATCGAACCGACGGATCGACGATCAATAAACTGAACATCACAAGAAAATAAACCAGAAGAGACGATTTCAGCTCACTGCCGTCAACACAACACCGGACCAGAACCAGCCGCGTGCTGATGCAGCGTTGTGTGTGTGTGTGTGTGTGTGTGTGTGTGTGTGTGTGGACCAGCTGCTCCAGAACTCGTCCAGTGAACTAACAGCATCAGACAGACAGCAGCTGTCTGACAGGAACCGCTTTGTGTTGTGTTGTGTGTCTGTTTGTGTGTCTGTGGCGCTCTGCCGGGTCGAAGCTCCGTCTAAAACCAAACAAACCCAACAAAGTTCCTCCCAAACCACCCGGTTCAGAACCACCCGGTTCTTCATCCCCACCAGCTTTACTCATGCAGCAGAAACTCTTACTGGACGTGTGACTCCAAAATGGTCCAAAATGTCTCAGAATTTTTTCAGAACACTTCCAGAGCACCTTAAACGTTCCTCACAACTCGTCCAACATGCTTCAGAGTTTCTCCTGACGACTTGTCCAGGTGTCAAACCTTCCAGAACGACTAGAACTTCTCCAGAACAACACAAAACGTTCAGAAAATCTCAAAAAGTGTCTCAGAATTTTTCCAAAATGACAAAAAAAACCCAAAAAAACAGTCGCCGTGAGGCTGTTTGGAGTTTATTCCAGATGTTTCCTGAACCGACATCAGAACACGTCCTTGTTTTATTTAGAGAACACGACGTTGGCCCAGTTCTGTCGGTTCTCTGAGAACGCTGCCAGCACGAATAAATCCTCATCACGAGTCCAATAAACCGTCCTGCGGCTCCAAACGCTGCGACAGGAAGCGCTTGTTGCTCCGCCGTCGCTGCGATGTGTTCACTGCCACGTTCTAAAGGAACCCTCAAGTCCTGAAGGTTCCCACGCCGCAGAACGCTGCTGCACGTTCTCATCGTTTCTTCACGTTTCAATCAGACGTTGGACAAACGTTTCAAAGGACATTTTCATTTCCAGTAACATTGCCCTAAAGTTTGTATAATGTTCTACTGTCAGCATTCAGAGAACGTTGTCGGGAACACTGATGACGTTCCAACATAACAAAGGAGGAACATTCCCCGACCAACGTTTAAAAGCTAAACACCGGAAGTTATCGAGTCCTCAGATGAGCTTTTATACAACGTTCCTGTAATGTCACACATTAACAAAGGCGGAACATTCTGACCGCGATGTTCTGAGGACGTTTTGGAGATGTTGTTGAGAAAACGCGTTACAGAACGTTAACCACAACAATGCAAAGTAAGGATGTTCTCTGGTTTCCTGATGTTCTCGAGGCCTCGCAGGATGTCAAACGTTCTCACGTTCCCGTAGCGACGGAACATTTCGCCTGTTTTGTGAAGAAACCCGTTCAGCGTTCCGTGGTAACGCAGGAAGAACGTTCCTAACTGGTTGTTCAGCAGAAAAATCCTCCAAAATGTCTTTTTTATAGCTTCACGTCGCCGTGGAAGCGCTGGCGCTGCACTTGTGTGTCTGTGTGCAGCTCACGCTGCTTCAGCCGTGAAGGATTGCGTCTGCGTGCGTCTTCATGTTTTCGTCCACGCTGTGATTACGAAGCACAAACAGCAGCAGCAGCCTCCCGCCGCCTGTCAGCAAGACAGAGTGTCGGTGTCGGCCCGAACGGCGACGCTTCCCGCCGCTAATTATTCACCGCGCACAGAGAAAGGTCGGCCGGTCGGACGGGAGGAAACCTCGCCGACCGATAGCGGCTCTACGGCGAGCCAAGGTCGTCGCTCAAAACCCGGCCGGTCCGACCCAACTAAGAATGGAAAGCTCCTTCCTGTATGAGCCTGATCACATGATTCATTATTTACAGGTGATGTCATTGTTTTTACGTGTAAACATCTTTCATTAAACATAAAAAAAAAAACACAGATTCTGTGAAATTAAATCCAAAAACTGTTTTTCAGTTCTGAACAATTCTTGTTTTTTTATGCGACGGTTACTTTCCGTCGTTTGTTCGCTCTTTGTTTATCAGGCACACGGCAGGAGAACACGTTCTGTCAGGCTCAGCCGTTATTTCCCTTTTATCTCCTCTCGGCCACAAACACGCGCTCACAAACGGCGTCGTTAGCTAACACGAGCTACATTAGCTCACATGCTAATCCAGTGGCATGTGGAGATTGAAGCGGCGCATCAGCGCGTTAGCCGCCTCATTGGTCAGCTAAATGCCAACTCATTGGTTAATGTTGTGCTGCTGCAGCTGTGTGTGTGTGTGTGTGTGTTCGGTTCTGCCTGGAGTCAAAGGAACCTGGCGAGAACCTTCACGTTCCAAAAACGTTCTGGGCAGCTGGAGGTTTTCTTTTAGTTCCCGGAATGTTTTTCTTGAATGCAGGATAACTGAAGATGTTCTAAAAACATTGTTAGACCTTTGTGCTCGAACGCTCTCAAAACTGACTGTGACGCTGAGAACGTTCTTCTTTTGTATCCTGTAAAGATTGTGAGAACGTTTTACAGACGGAACAAGTTACCGCATATTTACTTTTAAAGCTCACCGGCAGGTTTGTGGAACAGTGTGGGAATGTTCAGGAGGTTCTGTAATATGTTCCACCGTTATTGTGTCACATTAGGGGAACGTTACAAAAAGGTTCTGTCATCTGAGGCCCTTGTAACATCCAGAAAACATCTTTTGAACGCTGGTTTGAGAACATTCTTTCTTTCTTATAGATCTTTGTGGGTTCCCTCAATAACATCCCTAAAACGTCCAGAAAACCTTGTAGGAAGAATGCTCCCCTTTTGTTTAACATATCACGTCACAGGAACGTTTTATGAAGAACGTTCTGTCATCTGCGGCGTCGATAGCATCTTTTTTTTCCTTTTGGCTAGTGGAACTTTGCAGACCCTTCTCAGATCATTTTTGGAACAAGAACAAACAAAGAATGTTTTCATACAGAACACTTTGAGAACTTTCTTTTTATGTGACATATTACAGGTAGAACGTTTTGCCTTTTTTGTTGGAGGAACATTTTATCGAACGCTCTTCTTCAGAACTTTACCCCGATGATAACAGAAGAAGAATGTTCTCGACGCAACATTCTTCTGGGAACTAACAGAGAACTTCCTGCTGGAAACATTGGGGGAACTTTGCAGAACTTTCACCAGAACGTTTTTTTTTTTCCCCGCTGGCCGTTTCTCACACCTCTAGAACCTGATGTTCTTGTTCTAAGCGGAGGGTTCTGCGGCGCTCCCTGAGCAGCGCTCCGTGACGGATCGATGCGGCGGCGCTGGAGGAGTCGGCCGGCCCAACGAGGCGTTCAGGGCTGCGTTCAATAAGAGCCGATGGCGGCAGAAGTGTTGCGGAGGGGTTTCCCAACACGCGCCGATAACAACTCGGCCAAGTGGGCTGATTGAGTGTCGGATTACCGCTCGCTCGTTTTCATTGGATTACCCGGCCGGCATATCAGGGAAAAGCCTGTTAGTCGCCATGGAGACAGAAAGCCGCGGTAATCAGAGCCCTAATTACGCTGCAATCAGCTGGAGCGGCTCGCGGCCGCCTCCGTTACGCGGAACCGACATAATGCGCCTCGTTCACCCTGAAAAACCCGCCGGAAGCTCGTCTGAGCCCAGCAGCGGCCCGGAGCCGTCGAGGCCCGGAGCCGTCGAGGCCGGGGGAACGCTCGCACTTCCAGCTTCCTGACAGTCAGTGAACTCGTCGTGAATCATCGAGTCTGAGCTCCGAATCCGGATTGTTCTCATTTAGTCTCATTTTAACACATTAGCTCCACGTCCTGAGCGTCCTCGAGCTGCTCATCTGGAAAAAAATGTACAAAATCTGAGCTCACAATAAATTTATTGAACACGAATAATAAATCCTTTGCAGGAACCAGATGCTGTCAAGAGCCGAGACCAAAGCTCAGGGATGTGTGTCGGCTGAGCTGCTGTTCACACGACTACGGAAACTAGTTTCAAATCTAAACCGTCAAATACTGACGTGGAGCCTCCGGGTGTGATGGTGTCTGCTTTCGTTGTAGACTCAACACTGACCTAAGAATAGCAAAATATGACAGAAAAATGTTGTTTTAAACTAGTTTGCAGTGATTTAAGGCAGTTTTCAGGCTATTCTGGACATTTTTTGTTTCTTTTAGAGACATTTCAAGTTGATTATTATTATTATTATTATTATTATTATTATTATTATTATTATTATTATTATTATTATTATTATTTTCCACAATTTTGGACTGAGAGGAAATCCAACCAGCTGGATCAATGAGTAAATGCAGGATGGATCAGAACCAGAGAGCAGAGGAGCCAGATGGTGGAGATACATTCAGCATTCCTGTTGTTCTTTATTCTCTTTGCGTCATTTTACATCTTTTCGTGTCATTTGTTGTGGTTCCACAGAGCTGCACGACTTTATTTCACTGTAAAGAAAAAAACAGAAAAAGAGCCACAGTGAGGAAAAATGGGTCACGAGCAGAAAGAAAAGTCAAATAAAATCCCCCAAACTCAACTTAGTTCTGCATCATCAGTCAGTTTAGTTTAGTTTGGTTTAGTTTTGGGGTTTTTGTTGTCTCTTTGTGATTTTTGCATTTCTTTGAGTCATGTTTCACCTTTTTGTTTAATTTTTGTGTAATTTTTGCATTATTTTGTGTCATTTTTGTCTTTCTTTGTCATTTTTGTTTAATTTTTGTATCTTTTTGTAAATTTTTTATTTTTTTTGCTTTTTGTGTCATTTGCGTATCATTTCTTGCGATTTTTTGTCTCTTTAAAAAAAAATTTGTGCCATTTTTGTCTCTTTGTGTCATTGTCGCATGTTTCTGTCATTTTTGTTAAAATTTGCATCTTTTCGTATCATTTTTTGCTTTTTGTGTCATTTGTGCATCATTCCTTGCGATTTTTTCCCTTTTTTTGCCATTTTTGTGTAATATTCCATCTTTTTGTATCGTTTGTGTGTCATTTTTGCGTCTTTTTATGTCATTTTTGTGTAATTTTAGTGTCATTTGTGCATTTCTTTCTTTGATTTTGTTTTATTTTTGCATCTTTTTCTTTGTGTTTGTTGATCTTTTGCATCTTTTCGTGTCTTTTTGTGTCGTGTTTGTCATGTTGTGCATCGTTCCGTGCTCTTTTTTTGGTCTCTTTTTTTCGTTTTCATATCTTTTTGTGTTATTTTTGTGTCGTTCGTGCCGTTTCCGTGGGCCTGCAGGAGTTCATGTTGCAGTGAAAAATGAGCCACAGTGATGAAAGTGAAACAGGAGCCCAGAAAGTGGCTGTTGTTTCGAGGGTTGACGAGATCCTTCACGCTGATTTAAACATGTGGATGCTTCCTGAAAGCAGCCTGGAACAGACTCGCTGAGTTGCTCATCCTCCGATAGCGTGAGGATCAGATTCCCGTCCTGATATGTTGTCGGCTGGCGGCGCTCAGAGCTCGCCCGGATTCAATCAGCGTGTCTCCGACGACGTACGACAACCTGACGTCGACTCGTGATGGGGACTGGCGACGTTACCGAGCGAACGATGCTGACGTGCCCTCGAGCGAGTAGCGGTGAAGAGTCGAAAAGAGGCGGGAACAGAGATGAGGATGGAGGAGGTCTGAGTGAGCAGCAGCATCACAGACTGATCTGTGCTCTTAGTTTCAGTAATCCGACGGGTTTTTACATATTTTTGTCTGTGTTAGCAGCCGGTACATGTTCCAGCAGGTCTGAGCCCTTTTGTTTTTTTTTAACTGGACTCAAAATATTTATATCACTGATCAAATTCCAACTGCAATTAGAAATTCTCCCAAAATTTTCCAGAAAAAAAAAAACCCTCCTGTAATACTTTAGACACCACAAGTTCACCTCTTATTGAATACTGTGTCTACAATCCTGCTCTCTTTTACATCTTTGCAAGCTGACAGAGAGGGTTTTCTTCCTGAAGGAGGCGGAGCCAGCAGCACCTTGGACACCGAAAAGTGCACGAGAGTTAGCTCGCAGCAAGCGAAAGTAAAGGGACGTCAGCATATTAATTTAAGTTAAGGGATGTGAAGATACTAAGAAAAGTTAAGGGATGTGAGGAAATTTAAGGGAAATTAAGGGATTTTAAGATATTAAGAGAAATTCAGGGATGCGAGGATATTTAAGGAAAGTTAAGGGATGTGAGGACATTAAGTTAAGGGATGTGAGGATATTCATTTATGTTAAGGGATGTGAAGATATTAAGAAAAGTTAAGGGATGTGAGGAAATTTAAGGGATTTTAAGATATTAAGAGAAATTCAGGGATGTGAGGATATTTAAGAAAAGTTAAGGGATATGAGGATCTTTCGGGAAAGTTAAGGGATGTGAGGATATTTAAGAAAAGTTAAGGGATGTGAGGACATTTAAGGGATTTGAGGATATTAAGGAAAGTTAAGGGATATGAGGATGTTTTGGGAAAGTTAAGGGATGTGATATTGACTTCAGCCAAACCTCGAGGCTGGTTTTAAACAGTAAAAGGAAAATAAGAACGTAATGAGTGTGAATACAGCTTTGTTCACACAGCGAGTTAAGGGCAGAAAATAAAAGTGAATCCGATGTGAATGCTGCAGTCTGCTATCTTTATCACTCCATTACACACACACACACACACACACACACACACACTCACACACCGCCTGAAAGCAGAGGCTTAACATCTGTCAAAGAGTCGGTCGTTACGCAAGACAACGCGCTGCACAGAATCCATGTTTTCATGCTGAAAGGCATCAGAGCGGCACACGGAGCAGCACAGGGCAGCATGCAGCTCTTTGTGCTCGCAGTCATCAGCAACAAAACACACATGACATGACCCCGTGTGTTGTTGTGGCGACACCAGCGAGCCCGGCGGCGGCCGCCGCTGGAGGCCGGAGCTCGCTGTTTGTTCGGCTTGGTCAAGGAGAGCAGATGAAAGGAGAAATGCTGGTTCCTCCTCTGGTTTCTGTCCACAGCAGCAGCAGTGAGGGAGTTCCAGGTGTTTCTGACCCACGCCTCTGTGTGTGTGTGTGTGTGTGTGTGTGTGTGTGTGTGTGTGTGTGTGTGTGTGTGTGTGTGTGTGTGTGCGTGTGTGTGTGTGTGCAGTGTGCGTCGCCAGGTTTCACTGCTGCGACATCGACACGACTGCGGGACTGGGCCAGATCTGGTGGAGGATGAGGAAGACCTGCTACCAGATCGTGGAGCACAGCTGGTTCGAGTCCTTCATCATCTTCATGATCCTGCTCAGCTCCGGAGCGCTGGTCAGACTCACACTTCGCTCTGAGTAGTGTCACTAGACGCCTTCTGAATGAGGAGTAAATACAGACAGTAGATGTGGAGCAGCTCAGAACCCACACATTCATCAGCAGAACATCCTCAGTGAATCCACAGAACCTTCATTCTGCTTAAACACTGAATTTGCTTTTTGACCCGATCGTTCACATAAAAAGACTCTGATGTCAAACTGAAAACTGATTTCCAAAACAAAGTGTGAAGTAAGAGAAATAAAACGTGACTCTTTATCTCCTCCCTAAGTCATTATGTAGTATTTAGGAGTCTTGGTGGCCTCCTTCACTAGTCTCCTTACCTGAGTTGGGTCAGGTGAGTCACGTGGTCAATACTTCTGCACTTACTTATCCAACATGTTATATTTGTGTTTAATTGAATTACGTTGTGGAAATCTGTTTTCAGTTCGACTCCTTTTGTAAATCCTTAAAGTCAGATTAAATTGGAGGTGATTCAGTGTTGAGCGGCATTGAAGGGCAAAACCTTTCATAGGCGCCGTACATGAAACATTAGTGATGACTCTTTTAGAAACCTGGAATTGTGTTTCAATCGTGTACTTATGGTCATTTTGTATGCTGATGGAGTGCGTTTCCTCACCTCCGGAGCTGACTGGTGTGCTGCCCCCTGCAGGCCTTCGAGGACATCTACATCGAGCAGAGGAGGGTCGTCAAGGTGGTGCTCGAGTACGCCGACAAGATCTTCACCTACATCTTCATCCTGGAGATGATGCTCAAGTGGCTGGCCTACGGCTTCAAGAAGTACTTCACCAACTACTGGTGCTGGCTCGACTTCCTCATCGTCGATGTAAGTTATTGATCGGTTCCTCTCTGGTTGGTCAATCGCCTATCGATCGGTGGCGCGTGTGGGTTGTTCAAACAATTACTGTAATTACAGATTGCAGCAACTGCGATTGTGTCTCCGTGCCAGCCATGAGTTAGAATTATCAGTAAGTAATGGCCATAGAGACACAATAGGAAGAGCACAAGGAGACACAAAACGACCACAAAGAAAAGGACCACAGAATGAGACAAAACGACCACAGAATGAGATAAAACGACCACAAAATGAGACAAAACGAGACAAAAGGACCACAGAATGAGATAAAACGAGACCCAACGACCACAAAATGAGATAAAACGAGACAAAACGACCACTAAATGAGACAAAACGAGACCCAACGACCACAGAATGAGATAAAACGAGACAAAATGACCACAAAATGAGATAAAACGACCACAAAATGAGACAAAACGAGATCCAACGACCACAAAATGAGAAAAAAGGACCACAAAATGAGACAAAACGGGACAAAACGACCACAGAATGAGACAAAACGAGACCCAACGACCACAAAATGAGACAAAACGAGACAAAACGACCACAGAATGAGATAAAACGACCACAAAATGAGATAAAATGAGACAAAACGACCACAAAATGAAATAAAACGAGACAAAACGACCACAAAATGAGACAAAACGACCACAAAATGAGATAAAATGAGACAAAACGACCACAAAATGAGATAAAATGAGACAAAAC